ATCAAGCCAGCACCTATCTACCAATCCATCAAGTCTATAAACAATTTATCAACTCACTCAGAGTTTGGTGACAGTAAACAACACAATTATTGCTTTCTCAAACTTCCTACTTAAATCACTACAATTAAATATTTTGATATCTATATTTTAAAAGTAATTACAACAAAGTGAACAAGATATCTTGAGTTAACACTATATATATATAACAACTAACACTATGAGAAACGCTTTAGTTATGATTAAAAATAAAATCCCGTTCACTTCTACTCAAAATTGTGTCTACAGATTAGGTTGTGTCGATTGTGATGTGTTCTATATTAGAGAGTCTTCCCATGAGATCTCTACTTGTGCCAAGGAACACTTGCGTTATACAAAAAGACCTAATAATCCTGTAGAATTGAAAAATTTACAAGTTAAATCAGCAATAGCAGCACATGCTATTTTCAATAATCACCAAATTGATACTAAAAATATCAAAATAATTCAGAAAAACTTTTCCAACTACAAAGAGAGGCTAATAGCCGAAGCGTTTCACGTAATGCTAAATCCCTCTGCCCTTAGTAGGAAAGGCCTGCGTCTCATCAAACCTGAACTGTTTGTCCAGACAACCACACTTGACCTTAATATTATTATTTTGATACACACAATCTCAATCGTCTACTTCATATAACAAATGCGTACATTTTTCCTACCCACATTCTGATACAGTGACAGGTTATACAAATTAAACTTGATCAATAATAACTTGACAGTGACATATTCAAACTTAGTATGATTTTGATTGTAACAAAAATATTCTGCACTGGTTCCTCTGTACTATATAAATTTGTGTTAATTCATTTCTGTTATTTATTTACTTTAAAGGATTGCCTTACATTAATTTACGAAACGCAGAAATATAATTTTTCTACTCATTGGGGTATAATCAGAGAGGGGTTCATGAGTCAATTGAAGCTGGATCACCATGGAAAACCTGGAAGCACTGAACGGCTGTTTCGTCCTGGTATGGGACACCTCAGCAGTGCGCATCCACGATGATGTCGTTTAGAATAACGATGAAAGCTCCACGACCAAACCATCCAGCTGAGAGAACAAAACTCCATCAAAATCATTCACATGAGCTACAAATCTTTTCCACAATCTCAAATTTCAGTTTTCTTTTGTGAAGAAATATAAGTATCTCTCAACTGCTTAGTTATTAATCAAAACTGATGTAATATTTTGTGCTTAACTACGATCTCTATTTGATAACAGGCTTCTACAGGATGCATAGTGGTTTGTTTTTGTTCTAGATGTCTAGAAAAATACAATAATGTTAATTGAGCTGTAAAAATAACCTTTGAATTCATTCCGGTGTTAATACCATCTGTTATGTCCATTCGTATTTAAATGAAATGTAAGTTTAATGATAAGAAGTAGTAAAATAAATAGCTTAAATTATTATTAATTGTTAAGATCGATATACATTCAACTGGTAGGTATCGAATACAGAGAAATGGGGATCATGAACTTTACTGTTAATCTATATATGAGATAAAGTTTATAGATTTAATATTATATATATATATATATATATATATATATATATATATATATATATATATATATACATTTGGTTTTTCCTAACATTTACTGCAATAACAAAGTTTTTCTGTTTGTGCGATTGTTTTTTATGAAATAGCCTTACTGACTTTTATTGATTTCATTACAGATGAATTAAAAAATAAGCACTTTTTGGCAGAGTTCCAAATGTATGTAATAAGGTCAACCCATATCAATTAATTCAGAAATCACAACTACACAAATGAAATGATTGGTAGCAACTTTATCAACAATGGAATAAATGTGAATGAATTAAAACTTTTTAATTTTTAAAATTTATTTATTTATATTTTGTGCTATGCGTTTAACCCTATTTTGTATTATCAGAACGGGGATTTGTGGAGGTTGTAGTGAACTAAAAGTTGAATTCATGAGTCCATCTAAGCTAGACCAACATTAAATATCTGGAAGCACTGGAAGGACGCTCGCGAGCGGGATCGTGGATGCGCACTACTAAGGAGTCCCACGATAAGACGAAACGGCCGTCCAGTGCTTCCAGGATTCAATAGGTGACCTAATATCAATCGGTTCATGATCTCAATCAAAAACTTAATAATCTCCACAACCCCTATATTAGTAATCAACATGTGCTCACTAATGACTAGCTTCGTGAGGGAATTCTCGGAGTTCTAGTGAGAAGCCGTGACCAGTGGAGCTAATCCATGTCGGGTAGAGACAGGTATCTACCTCAGTACAATGGAAGTTGGTCACGCAATTTCGTGGACTGGTTGATGTTAGACACTATCATCATTGGATGCCGGCTCAGTGGTCCAGTAGGTTAAGCGTTCAAGCCCTGGGTTCGAATCCCGCGAGCGGGATTGTGGATGCGCACCGCTGAGGAGCCCCACAGTAGGATGAAACGGTCGTTTAGTGCTTCCAGGTTTCCAAAGGTGGTGGTCTAACATCAATCGGTTCATGATCTCAATCAAAAACTTAATATAGGAATGTGATAACTTGTCGTTTGAATGCTTCTTGTCTTGGCTCTTTTAATACTACTTTATGTATCTAGGTCGTCGCTGATTGTTATGTCGGAAACACTTGTCACTTATACTCGGAACGAGGGACCTCTGCGATTCCCATGACGCGAAAGTAAGAACACAAAGACTTGTATAAGTGATGATTTATTAACCCCCAAAACACGATGACAACAATCCTAGCCGGAAATATACTCATTTATATATTGGTTATACGCACACTTTGATTAATAATTAAGATGAAATCACATGTATAAAAATACTCAGTTATAACAAATCACTTGCTGAGCATAGTTCATGTCAATTAAATACAAGAATATCGTATATTATACAGAATAAAATATCATCCTGGGAAAACAAATCAAATACTACACTGAATGATCCACACGTTGAATCAAAACGGATGTCATGTTGAATAAAACTCATAATGAGTAATTCAATCAAAAATTGACTTTTCTTTCCATCATATCAAGATATATGTAAGTTATTACAAAATACTCTTTTCCATACGAATGATATTCGTTCTTAACTCAGTTATTTCTGAAATTTAAATTGCCAACCTAAAATGTATATAGGAAATTAGGTGAATAAGAAAACAAAGACAGTCTTCAGTATATTTGTCGTCCACTGAAGATCCACATATAACAGTAGTGACTGATTATTTACAGTTCCACATATTAACAATGTAAAAATATAACCTTTATTAATGACATTTTGTTAAAGAAATACTAGGTGATATAATCCTATTTAAATAACTGAATTTCCAACATGGAATACAAACAATATTAATCAGTGAAATAAAAATGAACACGATAGCTGTTTACAACCAATTTTTTTTCGAAATGTCAAGTGATTTGATCAAATTAAATCACTCGCGTCTCACATTCTCCCCCATTTCATTGGTTATACTCATAGTGAACATATAAAGAATAAGTGTTTTTCAGGTGAGAAACAATATCGTTTGGAAACTCTGAAAAGGAATATACTATGGTCTCAGAAGTATCACTCCATATGTTCAGGATTCTGGCAGCAATAATAATTGGTTTTTCTTAACAAGTAACGTCATAATTCATACAACCAACTTGGTTTCATAGATCTAGTTTGATTCAGTGGTTGTTTATTCTAAACTAAATAAAGTCAAAAGTTATTCCAGTGGGTCGAACGATTATATTTATCTGCTAAGCATACTGGTCTGACGAAAGTTTTCTTTGATGTGATTTTTATTATTTGTATTTCTGCACGGTATTTATATTCGTTATTAAAGTTGTACAATCGAATTCGATTGTAGCAGTAAGCGAACCTGATATGCACCGTTAGTTTATTGTGAAGGGAACATGAAATAGATAACTGAAGTCCACATTCCATTGTCAACAAATATTTTAATAAACTAATCGAAGAGACTTCGTATATTAGGTCTTTTTTCTTCTGAGATGGTGGAGAAGATTTGTAGCTCAGGTGGATGATTTTGGTGGAGTTTTCTTCTATTTACAGATCAGATGGTGATCAAATACGGAAGCTGAAGATATAAGGTATACTGAGTTTCAACTTTGTAAAATTTCAAATACTTGAAGGATCCTCAATCAAGGAGGTTAGATTAATGTGGACATCTTTTACAGTCACTAACCAGTATCTCATGACATGGACGCTTGGCTGATGTTACCACAGTTCCATCACCAAACGGATTTAAGAGAAATCTAGATTATTACTAATGAGTTGACGAACTTTCTCCTGCTGGGACACCAAACAAATTGATGAAACAAGTTGTCACCGTTTGTAATCATATTCCTAAGTTTGTACATGCCGAACTGTCCTATTTCATCCTCTCCTCTCTTTTATTGCTCTACATACATTCTGCTCCTATAACTACCCTGTCTCTTAAAAATATGATGAGCTTCCATCAAATCTTACATCAATTCACTATTAAGTGCAACAATGTAACTCAACGCGTGTGAATACCTGTCTGATCCCCATTGGTCTTCAGTCCTTACGACAGGAAGCAAACTCATCTTATTCTCCTTATATTTCGTCCAATTAAGTTTTTTAGGCTCTAGAAACCACAAGTCAAACCACAGATTCTAAAAATTGGCAGAAGACTTACAGTCGTTGATCTAAACACTATTGGCCTAACGAAACCACGATATAATGAGCAAGCTAACAATTGCAGCAAAGTACTATACAGAATATACCCCATTAAAAAACATAGTAATCCTCTGAACAAATGAGTCATCCAGATCATGAAGTATGAACATGGACGAATAGTATCACTTTATTCTCCTGACCTTGTCCACAAAGTAATTAGCGAATAAGAAAATAGTAAGACAGACATACACAACCATTCAACCAATCACTTTATTTATTATTGTCTGGTTAAAACTAAACCAACATGGCTAAGGCTTATCATCACAAAGTGAAGATATCGCGTAAATGATGGATGTTTCTGTGCCTTGCCCCTCTGATTTCGTCGTTGAACGATTTATTGGTCGTGGATGTTACTCTTTTGTATATGAAATTCGAAAAACAACTGGCTTTGATAGCGGTTCTAAATATGCTTTAAAACGTTTTCTTCTGGAGAATGACTCCGCAATTAAGTGCGTTTTGAGAGAAAGACGGATTTTAGAACGTCTTGCTTTGTGTGATTTTCAAAGCCCATTTCTTCCTATGCTCTGTTACAGTATGTGGAAAAACTATTCATCTGCTTTTGTTCTTCGAGAAGGCTCGGGCTGTGATCTTTATGATCTCCTATGTCACGTTGGTTGCCTGTCAGAAAGCAATACACGTTTTTATATCGCAGAAATTATTTGCGGCCTGGAGCATTTGCATTCACTGAGTATTGTACATTTGGATGTTAAACCTGAAAATATTCTCTTCTATCCGGACGGCCATGTGTTTGTTTCAGATTTAGATCGTTCCTATGATATTTCCCAAAATATCAAGCCCACGCTAGATGACTTTACCGGAACTCCTTTATTCATGGCTCCGGAAGTCGCTCGAGGTGAAGCCATAGACACAAGGTCTGACATATGGAGTCTGGGTGTCCTTGTCGCGGAGATGGTTACTGGTCCTATCCGACGTGAAGCTGAAAATACTGCCGAGGAATTTAAACGAGCACGTATGGGTACATATAACATACGGGGTTTAAAGCGTCTCTCAAAACCTCTTCAGTCGTTTTTTAGCGCCTGTTTGCAACGCCAGCATACACAACGTCCTTATCTAAAAGGTGTAAAAGAGCTTCGGTTCTTAAAATGTGTTGATTGGTGCAAGGCTGGGTCCAGACTTCTTCGTCCTCCATATTCGACTTCAGAACTCCGTCACCGACTGACAAAAGAAGATAAGATCTCGGTATCCTCCACTGATGTAAATCTACTTTCTGGAGCATTTAAACCTTGGAGACCAGTCAAATTTAATTCAAAAATGCCACAGAGCGCAAACACTGGTGATTCTGAACCTGGGGATATTCCGTCCTCCTTGAAAAAAGCAGGATACACTGAAGAGAAACTGGACTTACTGTTTAACTCGTTCAACTTTATACATCCGAGTTTACGGACATCTGCTACCGATACTGGCGTTTCAGATTCTTTATCAAAACTGACGGTGAAACTAGATACAGCTAAAGGTTTAGTCGATAGCATACCAAATACTAAACATTCTAAAGGTCTTATTAGTAATAATTCTGTGGGGCCTATACCTTTCCGAAGACCTAGGTCCAGAGGTACATCTATTGGGGATTGACTATCTTATGATTTGAAACTGTACTTAATATATATGCTCGTACATGTGGTTGTCTCAAATCGCAATCGAACAACTGGGTTTTCAAGCCAAAAACAAGTAACAGTTTTATGTGGTTTTAATTTAATGTTTTACTTTCCAAGAATGTACTTGTCATGCAACTATAAAGTTTTAATATTCTCCGGATTATTGTCTTCTCATCCTTGTCGTAGGCCATTCGCGTTGTTCTAACTAGTGGGTTATCTATGTAAGTAAACAGTTTTGGACTCAATTTGTAGACGTAAACACTAAGTAGTAGTTTTAGATTTGAAATAAGTGATTTTTTCTATTGTTTAGTAGTTTAAACATAAATTTATGATACAACAAAGGTCTAAAATCTCTACAGTCCCTCGTAAAAATGTACATATTCAATTTTCTATTAACAGGACATGTATGCATTTAGATTTTGCAAATTATAGTTACAATTTGGAAATACTAATACACAACAAAGAACCTTACGCATACTTGCTATCTTAGGTCATCTTGTTTCAAGTAAGTTTGGTGGGTGAAATCAAATAAGTAAACACTAAACCTACCCAGATAATTAGTCCAGCGGACAAGAAACCGATATACTCAGGAAGTTGTACTCTAAATCTTAGAATAGGTATGCAGTAAACATATTTGGCTTATGTCGCCTAGAGAAGTTGTATTTACTAAGTAATGGTGTCTCAGCTCATATAAAGTTCCAGAGGTGAGTGGAGCGAATTGCCCCCAAATGCCCTGATATGGCCGAGAGTGGGGTGGGTTCGCCCTCCCTTTCGAAATGCTCACACGGCCACGCGTATACAGCCTCTGCCAGGGAAGTCCTAATCATTGCCTTCTCGTGGCTGTGTTGTTTACGAAATTGAGAGGACGAAAAACGAATGTCCGGCGCTTTAACCGGACCCCAAACCAAATTAATGTTGCACATGGGCTCCAGTATCCTGAGGGAACAAATGGCGTATGAACCAATCGTTGGTCACCGGTTACCATGAGACTGCATCTCCTCACGATGCCTTGTGGGCCAGACCTTTAGGTCCAAGGCCCGGGGTGTGGCCCCCTTGGAAAACCACTTGCTTCGGTCTGGGTAACCGGGCAGTATCCCTCTCACACAAATCGGATGATTTGTGTGGCGCATATGTATTTGGTGCCTCTTTGTACCAATGTTTATGTGTTTAAATAAACAAGCGAATTGCGGCACTGATGATAACATAAGTTAAAATATTCAGACTCCTGGAATATTTAGAAAGATAATTTTGCTAACACAACAAACGCTTAATTACCCTGTGGATTTTGTCATTTAGGTAACAGCTCACTAAGTGGTTGTAATGCACTTGGTCCAAACTGTTGGATTCTGTCATTTTTCACGTAGTTACTCAAAGAATTCGAGAAGTTGACTATGAGGTTTCGTTTTCTAGTTGTTAGGTCCTTGTCCGTTCCTTCTAAGAAAATGTAAGCCTATCCACGTGGCTCGGTAATCTAATTGGTGACTATCGGCTTGTGCTATTTATTCATGTATTTAGGGCTCTCAGCTACTATACCTCGCTGCTGTATACAGGGCCGAAAACCATTATCGCTTCCTACTTTAATCCTAAGCGCCAACTGAGATCTCATAGTTGCTACTCCGTCATGGTTTATTCAGTTCCATGCAATTAGTTCCCTTTATGAATGCACCAATATTTGTTCTTGCTTTATTTTATTCAGTTCATCTGCACTGTATAATGATTAGCCTAAGTTCATTATGAAGACATTAGTTATGCAACAGTTTATGAATCTGTATCACATTAGGTTTATTGGTGTTCTGTTACGGATGTTGAGCTACGGCAGACTCGTTTGTTGTGTGCGACTAACTAAATACCGTTTAATATATTGTGCGACTCTGACACAGCACATATCTATGGATCCTCAGGTTATTCATCTAATTTACGTCTAAGATGAAGTTTTGATAGCTAAGGCTGTGTAGTTAGCTCATAACTGATCACTTTTTGTTAACTTACTCATCCATTACCTGTTTAAAATCTTAGATATCTTACTTTATATATGTTTAACAACTACTGACTTACATTCTTTGTGTTCATTTTTTGTATTCAACTTAGTTTCAGTATAAATCTTTTAGTTAATTATGTCTCATGGTTCAGAATCGGTTATAACAGGAAAAATGCAATAATTCATTGTTGTCCCCTGTTCTGGGTTGCATAATTTTCTATACCTTCCTACTTGAATCCTATTTTGTGTCTCTTTTCTGTCACCACTACCTCTTCCAGTGCTTTGATATTCATGTTAGTGGTCCCCTTCACAAAGAGTAAATAATTAACCTCCGACTGTTTTGCAGAAGGGAAGTAAACATGTTAACTTTTATTCCTTTATGTAGCTGTAGTCCCAATCTTTTCTTTCTGAGCACCCCAGAATTTTCCCTGTTACAGCACTCTTGAATGTCCTAAAACAACCACTCCAAGTTTGATTATTAATTCCTTTTGAATCTTACGCAATTTGGTCGTTTCTTATGGACAGTTCTTTTCAGCGAATTCGGTATTTTGTCAATAGTTAGGAATAACTAAACTTATCAGCCTGTATGTAGCTGAGAAGGCAAAAAATGGAATTGATTAGTCGTATTCTGTGGATATTGTCATTCTTACTTTGTTTAAACATATGTAGGTTGTTCATTAAAGATATCTATAAAATTTAGTTCATTAAGTAAGTACTATTTAAAGAACCGACCATACATACAAACAGATTACCAGATCATGAAATACTGCCAATGTAAAACCATTAGTTTGGCGTAGAGAAAGAAAGACTCTAAATAGTGCAATCACCAAACATCTTGATACAGGACATCAGGTCGATACCCTACAATCATTCAAGGTGATTAGTAAGCAGCCAAAATCCAGTCTTCTGAAGCAGTTGCTATCAGGCGACAAAAGCCTAATTTATGTGTTCAAAAGGAGATGGTTATTAATCTTTCCTTGCCTTGGTGATTAATATTCCTTCGTTATATCTTAATAATTTTTTTTCGTTTTCTTTAAATTCTTTCTTGCATTTATTACACCATTGAGTTTTATTCCAACTATCTTATTTTATCAACTGAACTCTACTCATTTTATTCCTATCAAGGTTTATTTGTTTCTAACCGTCTGAACTGTTGTCACAATGTTCTTTCATCACATAAGGTATATATTTACAATATTCAGTCTATTAAATTTATTTACACCCTTGCTATACTATATGAATATGTCTTTAATATAACTTCTAATCAAACTCTTTTATGTATGTAATTTAAACCCATTAATTATGATTTTAAATATCACAGGTTGTAAGCAGCTGACGAGAACCAACGAAATAAAAATGAATTCATGCTATTCTGCTAGAACGTTTGTTCTTGCTCTTTTCAAAATGATAAAGGGAACTATGTGTATGATACTGGGTCCTAAGTTGGAGACTAGATGATATGATTTAATACTGGTCTGATTAATGCATACCTACTCATCTTACAGTTACTATTACTCCATACGTTTATTCCTTTCTAGTTAGTCTCTGCTGTTGGTGCCCACTACTTTTACTTCCTTCAACCTCACTTTTCAATACGATATAAAATATAATGAATTGAGCTAATATGCACTTGTACCAGTTTCCACGTAAAATGTGTTGGCATGAGAGGTTTATTCCTTTTAGTTATAGCCTACATAGACCAACTGTCATTCATTAATCCCCATCCTTTCATCACGTGACTCAACAACTAGGCTCAGTAAGTCAAATGTGTTTACTCTTCGTCTTTCGTTGAATCATGTCTCTATACCATTTTTAGTATTCATTTCTGGTTTCATTTGTTACATTTATCCATATTTCCTAAGCCTAGCTCTTACCACCGTTCATGTTATTATCTCGACTACCGCTTTTCGTGTCGTTACTTTTCTCTTGTGAAGTGAGGTGGCGAAATTGGATCAATACACGTATGTATAAGGTCTTATGTTCTTTATGACTGATAAAGAAGAATGAACAACCAGGTAGCTCAAAATCATAGTTAACTGGGCCGAATCATTAATATACTTACTTGATACGTATAAGGAGAAGGAACTAGTGCACCTCAGATGCTTAAATTACCTAGTCTTCACCATTCGACCTTTATACAGTCTGTTAATGTTCGTAAGCTGCACATTTAAAACGTAGCTCACAGCCTTAAGCGTCTTTTAGGCATCAGCATCGCCACTGGTGTAATTTTTAAGCAAATACGAAAAGGTGGCTTATATTTTTGGAACAGATTGTATGTTTGTGCGACACCACTTCACATCGTGGCTGACTGGTTGCGGGCAAAAAAACATTGCTAATTGTATTATTTCTCTGGTGTTAGAAACTCGGCTTCATAGAGACCGACCTCCAGCTACTCTTCATTTTTTTTCTACTCATTACTGTAGGTTTCTAGAAATTGTTAATTTTATGGATCGCATCTAAGAATGACCTTAATCAAGCATTTGTTGAGAATCTGGAGGCACCAAGCAGCTATTTCTTACTGGTAGGGGACTCCTCGACAATGCACATTCGCGACCTCACCGCTGTTCGGGAACTTAAGTTTCTACAACCTCAGATTAATGATTTGTTCACAAGTGAATAGTTCGGATGATTTCTCGAGTGCAATTCAGAAACTGTAACCAATATAGTCCAACCATGTCAGATATGAGGTAGTAAAAAATATCGACTTCCACAATCATCTGACGCCTAGATAGTTCAAGAGAGTATTAAACCCCTAAGCTAAGCTAGTTCCAGTCCCAGCAGTAGGTTCACCGTTCCGCGTGTTTTTGAACGTAGGCATGTGCCAACGTTTGATGTTAACCTCACTTCCCGACCTAGGTGCGAGACCCAACTACGTCTGTCAGGGTGCTGTGTAAAAATGCTTATCACCAAAAGATCTAAAAGGAAAATATGCGAACCCAATCGGTTCTTAATCGAACACCAGTGATTGTTACGGCTCGCGACCAACTGTCGTCATATTT